CCCCCCCCACACACACACACACGCGCACTTTCCTCTCTCCAAACCATTTGCCCCCGGAAACACACGGAAACACGAAAGACATGACGAGGAAGGAGAGAACCGACGAAAGCATAAATAACGCACCAGACGTCCTGCCGAAAGACTCAACTTTGTCAAACTTGACCATTTATGGTGTCAGCAGTGCCCAGCCCCAGCCCCCGCCTTTTTATTTCGGGTATACTGTACCGCACGCGGGGCGGGCGAGTTCCCCACGCGCTATCGGGTGATACGAAGGTGTGATCCGTGTGATCAGAAACGATGGCAGTGTTGCCAGATGAGTATGCAAAAATTGCCCTCGGTGTGGACGTTTTGCCTACTAGGCGAATTCTCCACTCGTGCGAGGTTTGCCGAGTAGGGCAAAGTCATGTGTTGATACCGGTGTATAATGGGCAATTTCCGTCTACTCCTCTTCTCTGCCAACGCTACGCGATAGATAAACCGGCAGCGGTATGCAATACAGCACAACATACTGATCTTCAAGTACAGCGCCTGCGAGACTCGGGGTAGGCCATCCCGCAGTACACGTATGCACTGCAGGAGACATGTTGCCTACCCATCAGGCGTTATAAGAACTCGCGCGTTTGCTGAACTTTGCAGTTTTGTAACACGGCATATGAAGGGCGTACTTTCTCGATAATCTGTAATACTTCCTTCGACGTATCCATCAAAAATGTAGCCAGGGACACGCGAAAAACGCGTATTTTGGCCCTTCCTGTCATCCCCCATGTAAGTAGGACACGCATCCCCGTGACCTGCTGGTGTCAAAATTGACGAGACTGAGTCGTGTCCCTGGTCCATCTCGATCTTCTGCATGCGTTTTGACTCCGAACGATGTTCATGTGCCTCGCGCATTCAAGAATAAAGGTCCAGGGACACAAATTTAACACCATTTTCAAATCCACCCGTAATGCTAAGGGGTCACCCAGAAAGTACGTCCGTCATTCGCCGTTACGAACCCTCCAAATTAAGGCAATGCAAGCTCTCATGGCGCCTGATGGGTAGGCACAATCTTGCATGCAGTGCATGCGTGTATTGCAGGATGATTTTGAGAGGAACGGTCGTACTTTCTGGACGATCCCTAAAGCGCCGCTGCTTTGACATCCAGTAGGTAAAGGTATACCGGTACAGAACAGCACATGGTCGCACAACTCGTGCGAATAGGCGACCCGTGCGCACTACAGCATGCTGGATAGTACGCGCGTTTGCTCCAGGCGACGGGGCACAGCGACTACACTGTAGGCACAGCCCCAGAAAGAGAGCAGAAGGATTCTCCATTAGGAACACGACTAAATCGTGTTTTTCCTGAGTCGTGTTTGGTCGAGAACACTCAGCACTAGACAACTGCCGTTTTATCATGTTCCCGGTCGATCTTCCTGCTGACGTTTCTCCATAATGATGTCTGCTCTGGAGCGTGCATACTTTAAACGCCCCCCCCCCTCTCTTTGGGTAACCCCTCGCGGGATGAGGGGGACTTGGGGCTGAAAAGTACCATATCTCCTTGGCGGCGGCAGAGTGGGACGTGGAAATTAGGCCTCCAAACAGCACCCTGGGGTACCCTAACTCTTTTGCGCCGTCTCCTTAGGCCAGCCTGCTATACGCGCGCGCGGGGGCGGGGAGCAGCGAGCAACTTTGTCGACGACCCCCTAATCATCATGCATGGGGGAGGGAAATGGGAGCGGCAGCGTGGCGGGGCGTGGCGGGGCGCGGCGGGGCGCGGCGGGGCCGGGGA